GGCAGTTGTTTCTTTGAGGATTTGTTGTTGGGGGATTTAATTTTTTGAGTTCCAGGTATATTTTTAGATATGAGACCCTTGTCCATTGTATCGTGTTTTGTGAGGAAGTCCAGGCCACCTGGAAAGGCCATGTGTAAAAGTGGGTTGATGGTGCCAGTAAACTCCTCAGCACATAGCAACCATCACTAGATTGGAGGGTGAATGAGCTTCCAGATGATTCCAGCTTCTAGTCTGGATTTTCTACCAGAAGCTCCAGTTGTGAGGAGCAGAGATCAGCCATGCTGGGCACTGTCCCAAGTTTCTCATTCACAAACCTATGAGTATGCTAAGTGGTATTGACACCATTAAGTTTTGTTTTTTTGTTTTTTTTTTGGGGGGTAGGTCCGGTCATGGGGGCTGAACTCTGGGCCTGGGCGCTGTCCCTCAGCTCTTCAGCTCAAGGCTAGCGCTTTACCACTTGAGCCACAGCGCCACTTCCGGCTTTTTCTTTTTGCTTATGTGGTGCTGAGGAATCGAACCCAGGGCCTTATGCATGCAAGGCAAGCGCTCTACCACTGAGCCACCTTCCCAGCCCATGTTTTGAAGTGGTTTTTATCTTTTAATAGTAGGCACAACAGCAAACAGAGAGCAAATAAACATTCAGACTGAGGACAATCAGCTAATAAATCCTAAATTATTAAGTCCTAAAGCCCCATTGTAACCAGACAGTTCTTTCCTGTTAATTCTTGCACTGTCAGCATGGGGAGACAGGTTCTGCTAGGCTTTTGTAGAGGGCAGGGGCAGGAAGGGCAGGATGCCACTCAGGGGATCCCAATGTTGTGAATTATTTTCTTTAATGGCACAGTCTAGGTGCTGCTGAGAAAACAACCCCAGTGTTTCAGAGCATTATCACAACTAAAGTGATTTTTCTTCAAATGATGTCCATCTTTGCTCTTGGAGGGCCTTGATCACTGTTTAGGGCTTTATAATCACTCTGGAGCCAGGCCAGGAATGCAATCTTGACTCAAAATTCTATCATCAGCATGGCTGAATCATGGGCCTAAACAAAC